TGTTAATTCACAACATTTGGTTGGGGCTGGGGATTTAGCTCTGTGGCACAGCACCTGCCTGGCAAATGCGAGGTCGTGAGTTTAGTTCCCGGTACCAGAAAAAAAAAACAAAGAACAAAAAACACAACATTTGGTACCGGGGAATAACTCTGTAGTCCAGGATGTCATATCTCGGATCAGGGATATAGCTCAGTGGCACATGTGTTTGCCTGGCAAGTGTAAGGTCCTGAGTTCAATTCCCAGTACCAAAATAAATAAATAAATAAAATAAAAAGGATATCACATCTCATAGAACTTCAGATCTAATCTCCTTGCAATATAGTAATGGAGGAAGACATGTGAGATTTCCTGTGATTTTGTTTCATTGATAAAATCTCTTTAGACAAATTCCTCCATGAGGTTTAATTTATTTTATTTTTGTTTTTGGTATCAGGAATCGAACTCAGGGCCTCATGCTTGCCAGGCAGGCACTGTGTCGCTGAGCTACATCCTGGCCCCTTCCATAAAGTTTAGAAGTCCTGATGCCAAAAAAAAGCATTTGATATGGAGCAAAAAAAAAAAAGAATGCACTAGATTTGAGGGAACAGAACCTGGAGCCAGGCTTGAAGATAGGCTATAGCATCACTGGGGCCCCGGAGGACAGAGGAGGGAGACAGCTAGGTGCCCAGAAGTAAGAACAATAGTGGGATAACAGGAGGCCACTGAGGAGTCCATTATGGGGACAGCAGGTTACTCCAGCTAGGGGCAGACAGCAGTGGCAGTGCCTGTAGGCATGGAGGCCCCCAGTCTCAAAGGCTTTGACAGCCCCACTTTGTATTCTACAAGCTTTTCTGGGGGTGTCTCCCTGAGGTGATGTCTGCTCCAAAGTTCATAGTATCTCATAGAAATCTTCTCCATCTCTCACTTCACTCCATGTAATTGCTTGCTTGTTTATAGTATTGGGCTTTGACTAGGGCCTTCACACACTGAGCTTCATCCCCAGCCCTTTTTGAACTTTTGTGTTCTGAGACAAGTTCTCACGAAGTTGCTCAGTTGCCCACAGTGGGCTCACACTCATGATCCTCCTGCCTCAGCCTCCCAGAGTGCTGGGAGAACAGGCGTGTGCCGCCATGCCCAGCACATAATTTTGTAAGTTGGAGAAAAAGAGGTTCTTTTTTTTTTTTTTTTTTGGTACCGGGAATTGAACTCATGACCTCAGGCTTGCCAGGCAAGCTTATGAGCTACATCCCTGGCCCTAAGCTACATCCCAGGCCCTAAAAAGAGGTTCTGAGGCTAGAGCAAATATTGCTGTTCCCCATCGTATTTGCCCAGCACTGGGGCTCCTGTATATGCTGACCGCTCCTTCCTGCAGGTGTCTGGAGCGCTCTGCCTGAGGGTTTTCCCCATCACTGAGTGTGTGATAAAAGGCAAGCATCCGTGTCCCTGGGAGCGGCCATCGAGCAATAAATGACCGGAATTGGTACATAAATACATATTCCAGTTACGGTTAAAAACTATTCCAAAATCCATGGCTTATGACAACAACAATTTGTTATTTCTCACGAATCTGAAGTGAGCTGGGCTATTCTGGTTTCTCCTGGGCGCCCTCATTTTGTTACATTTGACTGCAGAGCAGGCTGGACTGAAAAGTTGGAACTGTTTATGTGTCTTGCAGTGTGTGCTGGCTGTTGGTTTGGGACATTTTGTATTTCTCGGAACGGCTGTTGTGAGTGTGTGTATTAGGACTGAACCCTGGGCCTTTGCTGAGCTACATCCACAGCCCTTTTTCATTCTTTGAGTCAGGGTCTCACTAAGTCACTAAATTGCCCAGGCTGGAGTGGAACTTGTGATCCGGCCCAGAGTTGTGAGATCACAGCATACACCACCACACCCAGCAAGACATGGGGCTTTAAAGGGGTGGCTGATTAAGGGCAGAGCCTTCATGACTGGATTAGAGGCTTTTTAAAAGGTTCAGAGTGGGCCAGGGATATAGCTCAGCAGCACAGCGCCTGCATGGCAAACACAAGGTCTTGAGTTCAATTCCCAATACCAAAATAAACAAATAGAAGGGCTGGAGAGAATTATTTTTTGCCTTTTGGCATTTGAGGACACAGCAACAAGGTGCTGTCTTGGAAGCGTAGAGAGCATCCCTCATCAGCTGCCAAACCTACCAGCACCTTGATCTTGAACTTCCTACACTCTAGAACTGTGAGGAGAAATTTCTATTCTTTATAAATTACCCAGTCTATGCCAGGCATGTATGGTGGCACATGCCTGCAAACCCTGCACCCAGGAGATTGAGGCAGGAGACTTGTTGCAAGTTCGAGGCCAGCATGGGCTATAAAGTGAGTTTAAGACCAGACTGAACTGCATAGTGAGACCCTATCTCAAGAAGACAAAAATAAATAAATAAAAATAAAGATACATTTTTTTAAAACCTGGATAAATTACCCAAACTAAGATATTTTATTATAGTAGCACAAATGGTTGAAGACAGATACTGGTATCAAATGTTGGTGTAACAAATATCTAACTATAGATACATCTGTTATTGATAATGGATAGAGGGCAGCCCATGAAAAGCTATTCTGTGAGGGCTCAGAGAGGAGGAGAGCTGTAGGTAAAGCCAGATTTTCTTTTTTATTGTTTTATTTGTTAGCACTGAGGATTGAACGTAGGGTCTTTGCACTAAGCTATATCCTTGGTCCTTTTGTTTTTAATTTTTGAGACAGGGTCTTGCTGAGTTGCTAAATTGCCCAGGATGGGCTTCAATTTATGACTCCCCTGCCTCAGCCTCCCAGCGTGCTGGGATTACAGGCACTAAGGCTGAATCTTTTCATGGAGCACTTATGTGGTCACGATCTGAATGTTGGCAGAAATGTGGATGGTTAATGACAATTTCACTGAGGACTCAGAAATGAGGAACAATATACTGGAAATGGAAGGAAAGGCCCTTCTTCTTATAAAGTGGCAAAGAACATGGTGGAATTCAGTCCCTCTCCTAATTCTTCATCAAAGTGACGAAGTAGGATATGCGATGGAAGAACTCTCTCAGCAAAGTGTTACAAGTGCTGCCTGCCTTCTCTTGACTGCTATTAGTATTAGGGTGAGGAGAAAGAAACAAATTAAAGACAAAATTTATAATTAAAAGCCAAGCAGATCTTAAAGATTTGGAACATTCACAGCCTGACCAGGTTGTAAAAACATATTGGGGGGAAATACCAAGCAACCATTTGATAAAGAGATTGGTAGGGACAGAAGGAAGCCCGGTGCTGTTCATCAGGACAGTGGAAGAATTATCTGAAAAGCATTTCAGAAATGATTGGTACCTATCTCTCAGCACAGGCCTAGAATACCAAGGGCTGGGGACAGACTATGTTTTTAGAAAGGGTCCCTCAGGCACCGCAGGACCTCAGCATCCGCAGCCCTGGTGCAGTGCTCCTGGGCCACACTGGCTAGGACTTGGTACAACTCAGGTTGCTGCTCTGAGAGCCACAATCACCGTTGGCAGCACACATATGACGCTGATTGTGGTGAGTGTGAGAGCTGCATGGGCGTTGCTCCCTCTGCCTCCATTTCAAAGGATCACTCAGAGAGCCTGGAGACCCGGGCAGAGACTGTCATAGGTGGGGTGACAGCAGAAAGCCCCTGCCAGGGCACTGTCCAGCAGCTATGGAGCCTGAGCCACTGCATAGAGCTCCTACTAGCATGACATTTAGCAGAGCTGCAGGGTTGGAGCTTGGGAGAGCCTCAGACAGGCCACTCCAATCCCTGAGAGCTGTAAGGAAGGCTGCACCTCCAGAATCATGATGATGAGGCTGCCTGGTACTGTGGACACCTGGCCTTGCCTCTGTGTGTCTGCAAGGTGGAGCATAAAGTCAAATCTCAAGATTGAATGTTGTTTGCCTTATTGGGTTTTGGAGTCCCTGGGACTTGTTACTCCTGTCTTCTTGCCTATTTCTTCCATTGTGAATGGGAGTATCTACCTAGTAAATCACCTATTCCACTGTATTTTAGTTTTGTTTAGTTTTTTATTTTTTAATTTTTTTTTATCTTTTTGAGACAGGGTCTCGCTGTGCAGTTCAGGCTGGCCTTGAGCTCACTTTGTAGCCCAGGCTGGTGTTGAACTTGCAATAATCCTTCTGCCTCAGCCTCCCCAGTGCTGGGATTACAGGCCTGCGCCACCATGCCCAGCTCTACTGTATTTTGGAAGTGCATGGCTTGTTTGACAGGTTCATAGCTGAAAAACATTTTCCCGAAGGATGAATGGTGCCTGGAGTCTCACGTGTATCTGATCCAGTTGATATTTAGATAAGGGTGGGAACTTGGGCTTTAAAGTTGATGCTAGAATGAGTTCAGACCCCTGTGACTATGACAGTGG